TACTATCTGTGGACTTACAGAATGCTTTATCCACCATCGTGGTATCCCGCACAGCAGTGCCTTGGATCAAGGGACTCATGTCATACAAATGAAGTGCAGCAATTGGCCCATGCTTATGGAATTTACTGGTCTTATTATGTTCGCATCATCCTGAAGCAGCGGGCTTGAATGATGGAATGGCCTTCTAAAGACACAATTATGGTGCCAGCTAGGTAGTAATACCTTGCAGGGTTGGGGCAATGTTCTCCAGGAGGCTATATACGCTCTAAACCAGCATCTAAACCAGCATGCTGTTTCTCTGATCGCCAGGATTAATAGGTCCAGGGATCAAAAGGTGGAAGTGGGAGTGGCACCACTCACTATTACTCCTAGTGACCCACTCCTCGCTAAATTTTTGCTTCCTGTCCTCATGACCCTATGCTCTACGGGTCTAGAGGTCTTAGTTCCAAAGGGAGAAATGCTCCAACCTGGAGACACAACACAGATTCCATTGAACTGGAAGTTAAGGATACCACCTGGCCACTTTGGGCTCCTCATGCCTCTGGATCAACAGGCAAAGAAGGGAGTTACCATATTGGCTGGTGTGATTGATCCTGAATACCAAGGGGAAATCAGACTGGTTTTGCATAATGGAGTTACAGAAGATTATATCTGGAATACAGGAGATTCCTTAGGTCATCTCTTAGTACTATCACACCTTGCGATTAAAAACAATGGAAAACTACAGCAACCCAATTCCGACATGAGTACTGATGGCCCAGACCCTTCATGAATGAAGGTTTGGGTCACCCTAACAGGCAAAGAACCACGACCAGCTGAGGTGCCTGCTCATGGCAAAGCGAATACAGAATGGCTAGTGGAAGAAAGTAGTTCTAAATACCAGTTAACGACCACATGATCAGTAGTAGAAATGAGGATTATAATTGTTATGAGTATTTCTTCCTTGTTTTATTATACGTGTGAGGATGGCACAGGATTGGGCGGTGTTTTGTTCTGTTATACATAGGGTCGCTATGAGCTGGAACTGACTCGACGGCACCTAACAACAACGTGTGTATATATATATATACACACACATACACACACACGTAAAATAGTAAATATTTTTGTTTTCTTCTCTCCTTTATCACATTACTTATTATAAACTATAAGGTGTAAACAGGGCTAGTGCGTTTTTGGTTGTGTGCATATTAGTTGTATCATGTTATGTACAAGTATGATTTTATAATTGTCTTTATTTAGAGATTATGTATGGTTTAAGGAGATATGTACAAGTGCCAAGTTGACAAGGGGTGGACTGTAATGGTTAGTGTTATGTGTCAACTTGGCTAGGCCATGATTTTCATTATTACATAATTATCCTCCATTTTGTGATCTGATGTAAGGGGAGTTTCCTTGGGGACATGGCCTACATCCAACACATATGGATGGTCTGGCAAAGCTCTCTCTTGATCCTGCATCAGATTCATCATCATCTGACCTCTGGTTCTTGGGAGTGAGCTAGCAGCCTGCCGCCTAACCTGTAGATTTTGGGATTCGCCAACTCCATAGCCCTGTGAGCCAGTAGTCTGACCTCTGACCTGCCTGTTTGGGGTTCGTCAGGCCCTGCAACCATGTGAGTCAGGAGAAGCCTCTAGCACGATGCCTGACCCACAGATTTGGGACTTTCCAGCCTCTACAACTGTGTGAGCCATTTCCTGGAAATAAATCTCTTTCTCATATATATATATATACATGTACCTGTGCTTCACTGATTTTGCTCCTCTAGAGAACCCAGCCTAAGACACTGGGTAAGGGAAGCATTATTCCAATGCTAAAGATGAAGAAATTAAGAAAAATAGCTAACAAAGTCACCTTGTCTGTAATTTTCAATTTCCAGTAAGACCTGATAAAAATTGGATATTAAAGCTCTAGCATGATTTCATGACCTAGAGCCTCTGTGCAGTTGCTCATCTTGTAGATTCATCTTCCTTAACTCAACTTTGTCTTTTTTTCCTCTGTTGAAAAACTAAGACAGATGTAGTTGAGTTCTCTTCAGAGCATTGGGATACTAATTTGGAAGTGATATTGGCATGAAAATTGTATTTGGAAGCAGAATTCATTCCAAGTCCATTCTTCCTTTGAATGCAAAATAGTTCCAAGGACTCTTCTGGTACTAAGAGCACATCAAGAGAATAAATTCAAGCCTTATTTATTGGAAATATTTGGAAAAGATACAACTATTACGTTGTCTACCTATATCACCCATGCTAAGGAAATGGGTTTCACATGAAAAGTGTGGACAAAAGCAAAAAAAAAAAAGAGAAGACTAAGAAATCTGTATTCTAAACCTTTCTCTGTGTCACTAACAGCACAATTCTGAACAGTTGCTTGAACTTCTATTTCCTTTATCTGTGAAATGCAAACAATTATTCTTGTTGAACCTATCTTGTTAGGATTGTTGTGGGAAAATAGCATAATAAAGTATTGTTATAAGAATCTAACAAGAGAGCTTGAATAAACAACATATATAATGATTGTTTAAGTAATCAGTCTTTCCTTTGTGTTCTCACCTTCTCAGTACAGTCAAATGCAGCTCTTTAAAAAAAAAAAAAAAATCCAGTCATATCAATCCCCTGCTTAAAATCCTTCAAAGGCTGCCTACTGCCAAAGAACAAAGTTCAAGCTCCTAGCAGAGAGTAATCTGTTCCTACCCTATGGTGTGTCCAGCCTCATGTCCCACCACTCTTCCTCTTCAGTAATCATGTACCAAATGTAATGCCTCAAACATATTTCTTTACATGGATGATCTGTCATATGCTATCTCTTCTGTCTGGAATGTTCTACCCTGCTAAACTCAGACTCAAAGGAACTTCTTCACTAAAATCTTCCCAGCCAGACTGAGGCTTTTAACAAGGAAGGAGTTAGGCTCCTTAAGTCAAGTGATTACTACACTTACTACACTGAACAATAATCAACATCCCTACTAAACTATGAGAGTATGCCTTTTCACAGTGTCTATCCCAGTTCCAACATACAGTAAATATGTAAAAAGGATATGTTGAAATACTAAATCTCAACTCTGTTTAAATATAAATTATTTATACACACATGTATGAATATGCCACATATAAGATACATGTTTAGAAAAAAAGACTGGAAGAAACCGTAATAAATTATTAATTAAATTATTAACCTCTGGTTAAGAGAATTATACAGCACTTGTTTTCTACGTTTTCCCAATTTTTTATAAAACTTAATTTTTCAAACAAGTATTTTTTAAACTTGTAAACAAATATGAATGAATGAATGAACACAAAATAATGGTGGGAGTCTCACCTTATTCATCTTTGTAGTCTCTCCAACCCTCCACCCAGCCCCGTGCACTGCACAAAGGTGTTCATTATATTTGTTTGAATTGAATTTATTCTGTAAATTAAATAATTGAGATGTCTACTTCACATGGAGCCCTGGTGGTGCAGTGGTTAAGTGATACGGCTTCTAACCAAAAGGCCAGCAGTTTAAATCCACCAGTTGCTCCTTAGAAACTCTATGGGGCAGTTCTACTCTGTCCTCTAGGGTCACTATAGGTTGGAATCAACTCAACGTCAACAGGTGTTTTTCTTTTTAACTCATATATTTAGAAATTATTCAATAAACAAAATTTGATATTGTCTCACTAAAAAAGTTAAATGGCAAAAAATCATAAATACATGTGATTTTTATATCTAGCATCTTCTTTGCTTAGTACACTTTTTAGGACATACTCATACCCTCAGAACACAACAAGAATAGCCACCATGTTGAACTACACAGTGACAATGGGCAAGTTACTTAAACTCTTCGAGAGGATCTTTCCATAGCTAAGAAACACTCTGATGATTTAAAATTGATATAAATCTTACTCTTGGGGTACGATGTTTTTAGCTTTATGCCCAATTTCAAAGGAGGAAGTACTTACATACTCCGGGAATGAGGCAGTTCACCACTCGCCAAGCCACCCTGTCCCACCTGATGTGCTTTTGGAGAATTTCATTGGCCTTCAAATGGCTGTGAAGCCTAGAGACTGGGAGCCTGGGGGTTTTTACATTCTTCAGGTAGAGACTGTAAAACAAATCAAGGGCAGTCTCCTGCACACTAAGGAGTGGGTAAACTGGTATCTGGAGGGCAATTTGGCAAAAGCAAGCAAGAACCTTATAAAAAATGCATCCTCTGTGGCCCACCAATTCTACTTTCTAGAATATCAACTAAGGACATGTAGAAAGAATTAGCTTAAAAAAAAAAAAAAACACTTCATTGTATTATCAATAGTAACAAAAAACTGGAAATAACCTCAGTACCACTGGAGCCACTGGTTGGGTAAATTGTGGTATATCTGCTGGGTGGAATATTATGCGGTAATTATAAATGATGTAGAAATACACTTACTGACATTAAAATATATTCACAATATACTATCCAGTGGGGATAAAAGTAGGTTGCAAAGCAATCTGTGTAGTGTGAACACATCATTGTTGTTAGGTACTGATAGACAGATGTGGACACGAAAAAACCTCTAGAAGCATGCACATGGAAATATTTAACAGCAGTTATCTTGGAGTGGTAGGAAAATGAGTGGTTGTTCTTTTAAAAAGTCCCTCTATTTTCTGATTTTTCCTTCCATGAACACATAATTAAAAATAATATTTCTATACTTAGAGAAGATTCTAAAAATAAACAAACGGACAATAAACCACCGTGTAGAAGTTCCGAAGGGCTGTCTGCAGCTGCACTCTGTCCCTCACGACCCCTGAGCAAACCTCTCCTGGGTAGAATAGCCATTTCTTAGAGCCTCAGAGGAACCCTGGAGACAGCTGCCTTGTTCGCCTTCAGGCCACTTAACCCTGGGTGCCACCAAATGATACATCAGGTTCAGTACTGGTGCAGGCTCAGCAAAGACCCTGAGCCATTTCCCCATTCCAGCCCAGTATTCACGCCCATCCCTCAGTTTGATGGGCAGCAGAGTCTTGTGGGTCACTTACCTCCCCAGAGGGCGGCGCCCCTCGTGTGACCTCCTCATAGGCGCCCACCTGCTCCCAGGTCGCCAGGAAGGCATGGGTGGGGGCAAAGCGCATGGCGGAGCGCGGGAAGCCCGCGCGCACGTAGCGGGCAGCCAGACCCAGCACAGCTGGGGAGGTGTCCTCGCGGTATAGGATCCGGCCCCTGCCCTGGCTTGTGTCGATGTCGGCCAGGAAGGGGACGATGGCTGGGAAGTCTGTGGGGAAACCATCATCCACATACTGGGTCTCCCTTGGGAAGTCCTGGGTGGAGATGATGCCATTGGTGCCCACCTGAGAGTAAGGACAAAAAGGTGATGGTCGCTTACGCTGCAGGAAGCCACAGGGCGGCCACCGCAAGCCCAGATATGCTTGCCCACCCTGTCCCCCAGGGAGGGAAGGGCAGCCACGCTTCCAACCGCGCCGGGCACGAACGCAGTACTTCCACCGACTGGGAGCCCAATTCCCGGCTAAGGGCGACCAGAGCATCTTCAGCCGGGTACCCGGCCCCTCACCCCGAACCAAAGAGCGGCTCAGTAGGTCCAGGTGCCCTGAAACTCGTCACTTTCCGAACAACTCTGGAGCCCCGTGTCCCTGGGGAGAAAATGCCCAGGTCTGAAGAGGAAACACCCCAGCTTTGCAGTCGTGCACAGCCTTCTCGCGGCTCTAACTGGAAACCCCACTGGCCACCTTAGAAACCCCACCTTCTTTTCTGTCTGGGACGCGTACATGGCTGCGAACCATTCTTGCTCTCCCGTGGTAAGGAAGGCAACGAGTCGGGCAGCAGCACTGCTGCAAAGCTCGCTCCCACCCCAAGGGCGGCCGGGCGTTGGGACTATTTCCATCCTTCCGAAGGCGGGTGTTCGGTGAGATACACACTGCATTCACCCCTGGAAAGAAGCTGTGAGAAATGTGCCGAATCCCGCACCAGGATGGGCTGAACTTACGTAGAGGTCACTGAACCGGCCTTCGTAGAAGTGCAGAGGAATCGCCAGCTTCACCGCTGCTGAGCTCTCGTCGTCGCCTTCCTGAAGGAGCAGGTCCCCCCACGACTCCCCGTAGGGGAAGAGCTCGCTTGGGTGCAGCGCCGCAACCCAGGACAGCAGCAGCAGCAGCAACAGCAGCAGCAGCGGAGGCGGCGGTAGCGGCGCCGGCCGCTCGGCCGCCCGGTCCCCCTGCATGCTTGCTCGGCCAGTGGGCTGCCCTGTCGCAGAGCGCGTCCCGGGCCGGGTCAGCCAGACCACTAGCGGCTGCGCGCCAGCCTCGAACTAGGATCCCCGAGGGCGTCCGGCTGGGGCAGGACTCCCGGCCCTCTCAACGTGCTGATTGGCTGCGGTCCTCGGCCGGGGACCAATCGCGGCGTCTGAGAAAATTCGACAGCAGCCGTCACATCTGGTTCTCGTTAAAAGTTTTCTGAGGCAGCAGTCGCAGGAGCAGCGGAGCCGGAAAGGTAAAAGCCCCCGGCCAAGGCTGCCCCGAGCTGCTCCTCCTCCTCCACTTCGTCGTCCCCTCCTGTCCCCGAGAGCTCCCGGATCACTCCAGCCCTACCGTCGGGGCTGCCCCGAGGTCCTGGCAAGCCCCGCCCCCCGAACTGAATGGCCTGTGAGCTCGGAGGGCAGCGGCGCTGCGCCGGGTGACCTCAGCCCAAGGCGAGACGCGGCGCCTTGCGCCGCTGCTGACTGGCGCGACGTGCCCCGCCAGACTGACAGGACCGGGATGTGGTGGTGGGGCACGGTATGAGTTTGCGCCCTGCCTGCGGCTCCAGGCTCCCCTCGCCCTGGAGGCCAGGCTGAGAAGCAAAGGAGCATTGTCACAGCTTTCTCGGCAGCTTCCCTGCACCGGAGACGCCCTGCCGAGAAGCACGCCTTTGTGGGCAGCCAGAGGCTGACTCCTAAGTTCCGTCCCCTCCCGAAGGCTGTCCGCCTGAGGGACTGTGCCACCCCGCCGACATGCCGGCCAGTCGGAGTCCAGCAGCGCTGTTTACCTTCTCCGAGGTAAACCGCACCAGGGGTGACCATGAAACGCGACTGTGTGATGGGCTCTGCTTGGGGCGTGGGGTGAAGCATCCCTGTTGGGAACCAAACAGAAATAGGAGAGAAGGTGAGGTGAGGCACCGGGGTGGAAGGAAGATGTTTGTGGGTGTTGGGGCTGCCCTGGCTACCGGCCACAGAGGCAGTAACCCAAGCCTCTCCGCAGCGCAGGATCGCGGCTAGAAACAGCGCAAGCGTCAAACCAGCTGTGTGAGTGTGGGGGAACCCCGTTCACCATAAACATCCCCTCTGCGAAGCCTCAGGAGATGGGCAAGATTTTGTTATCATTTTTATTACCTAGGGCTTGAAATTTCCCACATAATCTGTTTTCTTTCTCAGGCCCCCTGTCTGGTCCTTGGAAGAAAAGGTATTTAAGAAGAAGGAAAAGAGCAAACCTCGAAAAGGCCTTAACGGATTCTTGAAAGACTGGCTTCTTTTTGTGGGTGTTTATTCCAGTTATACAAACCCTTACCGGCCCGAAGGGCCAAACACTAAAACCCTTGAAGATATCAGACTGTGATATTCACAGAATCAACAAAAAATGGAAAATTGGCCCAAAATAGTTTGCTTCCTCAGACTGTGAAGAGTTGTATATTTGCTCTAGTAAAAACATTTATACTTGCACATACATTTTCTCATTTCTTTGGGTATTTCATTTTACTGAGAAGGAAATGAAGTCTCAAGGACATTAGGTAACTTGCCCAAGGTCACATAAAGTTACTCCTAGATATAAAATCCTTCACTGGCTCTCTGTAGCTTTTCCAAATCTCTCAATTCAGCATAGTAATAATAGCTAACATTTATTTAGTGATAATAAGTTATAGACTAGTGTGGCTGGCAGGCAGATACTAAGAAGGCCTGGTTGATCACCATTTCCTGGTATGTGTCCTCGTGTAATCTCCTCCTCTGGAGTGTGGGCTGGCCTAGTAAGTTGCTTCTAACCAATAAAAGGTAATGGGATGTCACTGCAATAATTAGACTACAAAAGATTGTGACTTCCATTTTGCTAGCAGACTCTTGCTGTCTTTGAAGCTGCTATGTTGGGGCAGCCCACTTGGCAAGGAGCTGAGGGTGGCCTCTTACCAACAACCAGCAAGGAACTGAATTCTGCCAACAACTACGTAAGTGAGCTTGGAAGCAGATCCTTCTCCAGTCAAGCCTTGAGATGACCCTCCAGCCCTGACTGACAGTTTGCAATCTTGTGAGAGACTCTAAAGCAGAGGACCCCACTAACTGGGGCCCAGATTCCAAACCCACACAAACTGTCAGATACTAATTGTGTTTTGTTTTGGGGCAGTTTGTTATGCAGCAATGGATAACTATCATGACTAGACACTATGCTAAGGAAACTAAGGCTTAGAGGGGTTAAAAAAAAAAAAAGTTATTGTCACTGGTAAGTACCAGAGCTGGGATTTGAACCCAGTTGTGTCTGATATCTAAAACTCTGCTCTTAACTACTAAATTATGTTGCCACAAGGCCCTTTGCAAGGTAGTTCTAGCCTACCTTTCTAAGTTCACCTCCTGCCACAGCCACTATTTCCACTGAGACTTTAGTTCTCAAATGCAACATCCTATTTTATGGTTTGGAACATCCTCACACGCTAGTCTGTATACCTATGATGCTTTTTTAGTCAGTCTCATCTAGCCAGCACCCGTTCATCCTTCAAGAATTGAATCAAAACCCTCCTCCTTCAGGAAGCTATCCCAGATACCACAGTCTAATTTAGAAACCCCTTCTACTTGCATCCATGTGTCCTGTGCTTGCCATTATTATCTCTTCCATCACACATATCTCCTCTAATCACTGATTAACATATGTCCCCCACACCACTACCACCACACCTTGAGAGCAGGGACTTTGTCTTATTCACTACCTGGCAAAATGCCTATCTGGCTCTTCAGGAAAAGCTTGAGAAATGTCATTGAATGAGTGAGGGTGAGCAAGCAGATCTGGGACTAGGACTCATGTCTGCTGGCTCAAAATGCAACATTCTTTTTCCTACACCTTCATTCCTGCTAATCTGGCCTGAGTTTTGTAATCCTCTTTACCAAGCTGCCTAGCAACTCACCTACCGCTACTGTCTAGTTTCCATCGTTCTTCCATTCAACAACTATTTCCTACAAGTTTACTATGACAAACACAACTCTGCAAGAAATAAAGGAGTACAAGATGTGGCTCCTGACCTTAAGGAGCTCATGCTCCAGTTGGGAAAACAAAGGATAAATATGAAAAAAAAAAAAAAAAAAAAGAAGCAGCACTGCCATGTAGCATGCATTTAACAATAAACAGGCAAAAAGGGGCCTGGAATCAAGAGGATGTCACTAGTTTTGAATCTGATTCTGAGTATAAAGAAGTAGATCAAATAGAGGAGAAGTTGAAATGAGCAGTCCTGGCTTCCTGTCTGCATAAAGTGGCTAAATTCTACTCGAAATACGATGCTTGGGCAGCTGTGCTTGAGCAGACATTCCTTTGAGCTCTTACTCTAATATTATTTTTTAAAAGAGTCTGTGGCACCAAAAGAGTGGTTTATCCTTTACAATGTCACTTTGTGTCTTAGGGAAAAGCAAAAATCTGTCATAGCTATTTCACTTGTCAAAGTAAATACGGAAGACATACTTTCCTTGCATCCACAGCTCCCTTCTCAAGAGTAAAAATTCTATGGCCTGCCAGATGGGCTAGGGAGGCAGAGGCCCCTTTTAGGCTGGAGGTTATGGAAGACTTCTTCTGTAGAAGTTTTTAGTCCCCTTGGATTGGATCTTCAGAGTAGATAATGAGCACTGCTTGAAAGGTAAAATTAGTTAGATGCAGGACTTTTTATCCTAAGCCAGATGTTACCAGACACCTTGACAATAGACTCAGCAAGAGTCTCCATGGTTATATTTTCTTTTCATGGTTATATTTCTGTTATAAATATAAAGACTTCAAGAATGATGACATCTCCTGTTATTTTAATCATGGGAATGAAAACACATTTGCTCGACAGCGTGGCAAATAGACGTTAGTATTCAAGAACAAATTCTATCTATAGCACTGACCGGTGTCTGTGCATGTTGGTATTGGAGGTGGGCTTGGCAGAAAATGTTCCCATTCTTGCTGTACACAGTGATTCTTTGCATAACTTTACTATCCATAAAATTCTGGGCTAGATGTCCTAGCATGTATAAAAAATAGAGTTGTGCAAATTAGCATGTCTCCACACACTTGGGCTTGATTGAAATTATGTTAGGCCTAAGAAAAACCATGGAATGAGAAAGTATTTAAATTAAAATGTACTATATGAAAAGACTTTGAGCCTTTCATTCCTGTGATACTATTCATTGAAGGTGCAATTTTGCCATGACATTTTTAAGCATAGAGAGGTTTGGGGTGGCAGATGCTACTGGATATTTTCTCAATAGCTGTCCTCTTTTATTCCTTGGTTTTAGAAATGCACTATTGTTCTGGTAAAAAGTGCAATAAGCTCAGGAATGGTAATGTCTTTCCTTAGCAATGGGAGATGAACTGAGATTGGTCTAAACCAATTGTGATTATGACTTGCCCCTTTACAGTGATTCGCCATGTGACCCAGTTCTGACCAAAAGACAGAAAGAGAAGTCTTCTGGGGGCCTATTTGGAAAGATTTTCTTTCCTTATTAATAAACAAACAAGCCCCTCTTCCTTCTTGCCTTTTGATATTGTCTTGTGAATCTGTAATGCTTGGAACTGTAACAGCCAGTGTACAAACATGACGGGGTCAAGCCTGAGGACAAAATTCATCGTAGTGAGGATGGCAGAAAGGAAAGGTGGAAAAAACCTGGATCCTGGGTGATATCATTGGGCCACTGAACTTGTCAGTCCTGGAAATGCCTACCTCTGGTGTCTTGTTTGATGAAATAGTAGTCTGATTTTTCAAGCCACTTTCAGTTAATTATTTTGTCACTTGTAGACTAAAGCATCCTAACTGATTGAATAGGTAAATATTTTAGTAGGCCAAAAGAGTTTTTTTGTTTGTTTGCTTGCTTGTTTTTATTGACACTGTTATACCTATGCTTCTTTTATACAGAAGATCAGATTTTTTTCCCCAACTTTTCCAAGCCCTGTTGAGTTTCTCAGGTAATTATTCACCAAAGTCTAGTATCTCTGGTTATGCAGATGACATCCCCCCGCAACA